TGATGAGGGCGTCTGAGCCCCACAGCCCTTCTCCTGGAGGTCTTTGGTCACATTATCCAACTCTTCTGAGTCCTTAGGAGTACGATAGTTAGACACGTGATCCACTCGGATGGTTCGTCCTTTAATCTAAACAACATAGGCAATGTTTCAGCAAAGATGGCCTTCCTAGCAAACAGTCTATAACTATCTGACTCCGGACACAGAGCACCATGGCTTGAACCATATCCAATACTTTCATGTTACTTACATTTCTGGTGAAATCTCTCAAGCAGACCTGCCTAACTGATGTGTCACAGCATGGATTTATTGTTGCTTAGTTGTCATCAAGTCAGACCTTGGCTCATGATGACCCCATGCACAATGGAATGAAACACTGCCCTGTCCTGTGCCATTCCTGTGACTGGCTGTGGAATGGATCTCGGTGATCTACAGGGTTTTCACTGGCTGATTTTCAGAAGTAGCTTGCCAGGCCTTCCTTCCTAGTCTCTCATATTCTGGAAGCTCCACTGAAACACATTCAATATCATAACAATATGCAAGCCTCCACTGACAGGTGGTTGGCTATGCATGAGGTTTACTGGCCAGGAAATGAACCCAGGAGGTGAGAACTCTACCACTGACCCACCACTGTATAACCAAACCCAGTGCCATCCAATCGATTCCAACTCCTGGAGACCCTATAGGACAGAGCATAACTGCCCCCATAGGTTTTGCAAGGCTGCAAATTTTTACAGAAGCAGACTGTCTCATCTTTCTTCCATGGAACAGCTGGTAGGTTTGAACTACTGATCTTTCCCTTAGCAGCCAAGGGCTTAAGCACTACACCACCAGGACTCCACCACTGCATAACTACACATGAATACACTCAGCCCTCAGGCAGCCAGGTGGGCCCTGAGGCAGCTGAAGTCCCTGGACTTTCACACAAGTATCATCAAGTTCTCTATGTCCCGTGAACTGAGAAAGCACAAGGCTCAGAACAACTGCAAGAGTTTGAGATGCACAAACAATGCGAAACCCCAATTTGTAACCTTTACCGTACAACGTTCCCTGGGGCAGCCTAGGTGCCAGAAGAAAGCCCTGAAATCCAAGGACCTACAGCTGCTTTCTGAGGTGTCTGGCACAGCCATTAGGATGAGGCACAGTCAGACCAATAGCTGGGAGGGGGAGGAAGCTAGAAAAGGCCACTTTCTTCTTTTTTTTTAAATGCATTTCATTGAAATATAATTTATGTACAGTGAAATACACAAAACTAAAAGTGACATGGGTCAATGCATTTTTTTTCAGTGTTCCCTCCCCCCTCTCCAACCCCTGGCAACCAACAAAGAAAATTTCCCTCCATATATAACCTTTCCTTGACCCTCCACAGCAACGAACTAATACAATATTTGGCTTTCTGTGATTGATTTATGTCACTGAGCATAATGTCCTCCAAGTTCATCCATATTATGTGGTGTTTTGCAGACTCTATATTATTCTTTAGTGCTGCATAGCATTCCATTATGTGTATGTAGTCATCCACTGTACTGCTATAAATCTTGAGATAAGTCCCTTGCCAAATATGTCATTATCGGCAAACATGAATTTGTTGCTGTCATTTTTGTTATGTGCTTTTTTGTGGTGTCAATTTCTTTGTTCCATATAATTTTCTATGCTGAGCAGTTTTGTTTATGAATCATGTTATCACTTCCTTCATTGCTATTGTTTTAGTATTTGTTGAATATTTAGGCTGGTCCTCTTTTTTGATGTGAAGGTTTATAATTTTTCTTTGAGGTTATCCTGTGATTTATAGTTTTCTTTCCAAGTTTAGAACAGTCCGTTCTATCTTGTAATTGTCTTGACTTTCCTACCATCTAGAAGTTCTGTAATGACACAATATTTTCCCTCTTTTTGGTTTGTAGTTGTCCTCATTTGTCAATTGATGTCTCTAGTTCCCTGTTTACAATCTTGTAGGCTTCTTTACTTTGGATACTTCCATAGTTTGGTTGGTTTCTGGGTTATGTCACCATGTGTGTTAATGGTGAGCTGTTGTTTGCTGTTGTTGTTTCTCTGTCCAAAGGACTCCCTTTAGCATCTCTTGTAAGGTTGGTCTGGTTTCAACAAATTCCCTTAATTTCTGCTTATCTGGAA